TTGTTATGATTGCTTGATTATCGTCACAGATGATAGGCGGTAATTTTAACGATGAAAAAAAGTTCGTCATGCTGACGTGCTACATTTTGTACTACAAAAACTATAAAAATACGGCAGAAACATATCTTGATAAATTTTCCATAAAAAGACAGCAGAATAGGTCCATTTTCTCAGAAAGCCTGTTATGCCTCGAAAAAAAGGAATTTTTAGAGGGAACCTGGAATAGTGTTTTACGAGCCATTGCTGAGAGCTCTGAGATGTCAACTAGAGACTAGACCAATTGAGAAAAATATAGGAGTAGCCAAATCCACAGCCCAACGTATTTACCGTAAAAATAGACATCATCCCTATAAATCAGGACCTAGGGGATAGCGAACGGTGTCCGCATCCTTGTGAATTGTACATACGGACGTGTGAAGATTTTAATTTCCGTTCAAAAATAATATGGTCCGACGTAAGTATGGTCAATAATGATGGTATTTTCAATCACCGCAACACTCATTACAGACATCGAGCACGTTTTGGGTTCAATATGTGATGAGGAATTCTAGGGACCAAAACATCAAGTCAACTTATTTATCACAACTCATTATCTGCAGAACCGTACCTTCCAACGACTTCGTAAGAGTTATACTACGCGTTCTATACCGTATTCGTAGTCCGTTTACGCTCCGGCACAACAAAGATTCAGCGTGGCAAAGCGGCAGCCGCCTAAGCGTAGCAATACCTATTGGTCATTCGACCATGAAACTATGAACAAGTGCTGGATTCAACAGGATAGAACTCAGGCTCGGGGTATCGACGGCGCGCTGACGTCGGCAGTTGCTGTTCTTATTCGTTGCATACATAGCGTGTCTTTATACGTTAGCATGCCGCCTACGGATACAGCAGATGAATCTGAGAATATTTCTCCCACTGATTCCTTCAGCCATGCTTCGTCTTCAGTGACGTCTCCTCCACGAAAAGGTGACAAGAAGGAACATTTGAATATTCAAGCAAAATAAATTGTCCTGAACGTTTATAAGAGCGAAATTTTAGGGCATCCTGAAATGAAAATTCATTATATTGGAAGACGTGTGGCAAACAGAACAGGCTTATGTCCTAAAACAATTTTCAACTTTGTTAAAGAATATAAACGAAAACAAAAAGTTGTCTTCACCGCACAAGAGGCTGCATTACACGAAGCTGTTGGATACAGCTTATAACTTTGATCGAAATGCAATCAGACGTAAATTCCATCAATTTTTTGAACGGCAGGAACTTCCCGCCATAGACAAAGTATTACAGGAGGTTAATAGTCTACCTACTTTCAAAAGGCCCACATTTATAGTTTACTCACAGAACACAGCGCATTTAGAATATAGAAAACGGGGCATAAATAGTATTTTGCTGGACAGCCAAGGGATTATTTTATGGAGAAGAAATTATTTAAAATCAATGAAGAAATACCGCGACCAGGGCAGGAAGATTCATTACTTGGAAGAAACCTGGATAAATGCAGGACATACAAAGCCTTAAGAATGGGCTGACTACAATTAAATCAGCAAGACAAGCCTTCTTAGATGGGCTAACCACTGGCCTAAGGAGTCAGCCAGGTACGTGTATCTAACCAATTCGTCATTTGTGTTGTAAAAATGGTGTTAAGTAGACTGAATCTGTGAGCCCACGCTGAAAACTTTGCTACACTAAACTTACCTGTATTTGGTAGATTTGGAACCAACACCTAGATAGATTAGATAATCTGCTTGTATTAATATAAGCTTTCTTGGCCAAATATAAAAAAGTATGTGGCTCCAAACAATAGAATATTCAAATTTTCTGACGTGAAAAATTTGTTTTATGAAGCTGTCAGCGGAGTGACGGAAAACCATTGGAAAGATTGCATCCGTCACGTTCAAGGGACAATCGAAACAGAGATGTGGAATCTGGACAATATGATCGATATTCGAATTGAACCTGTTTTAACCATTCGGACGATGATTCAAGTACTTCCAGCGAATAGGGAGAGCGGGGTTGAAAGTGCTGATGGTAAGTAGTGCCGACGAGAATATCTCATGAACAGACAGAGATATCTATACGTTCACATTACGCCGCAAAATGCTTAATCGTCCGGCTCGCGTGGCAGCCATTTCAGTACCCGATACACATACGCTGAAGATAGGATGTTGCGCATGTGGGCGGAGCTTCGTGACGTCACCCAGAGAGTTGTCGACTCGTGGTTACCAGTGGCAGGATTGGCGTAACGTTAGTGCAGTGCACGTGTATCGTGGTTAGTACTATATAGAGCGATTTGTTAATAATTTTTGGTGGGTTTGTGACTTGTTGTATTAGTTATACATTCTTTATATACCCTGTGATGTTAGTAAATTGATAAAAATGCGGTGCAGTTGTGAGATGTAATTCCGACAACCAGAATTAGAAAAATTCGAAAAGGAAATGGAAAAAAATTGTGGATTAGTCTAAGTCATTTCCATTTGTTGTTATACCGCCAGCTGGCTGCAAAAAGATGATAACTCCATTTTTATACTTTTCGAGTTGCCTACATTTTCACACTTGCATGTAGTTAGTACTTAGGATGTTCTGTAAAATAAGGATGAATAAATGTAGTGCAGTATTAACGTCATGAGCATGTTAATCCTGCTCCACAGAACATACTAAAATATAGGTAATGTAGAAAAATCTTGTTTTTTCAGTAAAGTGACGATACACGCTCTATTGTGGAGCTAGAAAGTCGTTTAAGCTATAGTATGTGAGATAGGAATAACAAGGTTGAAATCTTTTATTTAAATTCGCCATTTTGTTTTGTATAAAATTTTAATGTAGACTGCGTTACTCGCACCGCTAGGACGAATCCAACGACACCTCATATGTGAAAAACCGTCCAGCCGTTTGGCCTGTAGGTGAAAACATGCACGTTATCCATATCAATCTAAATGAGAGTCACTCTCTGCGTGACGTCATGCGCGCCGGCGGACGAAAATCAAACAGTAGTTCTCGGGACGTGGACCAGGTGTCCTCGTAAGTAAATATTTTCACGTTTATACTTTTTGGACTCAAGCCAATATTATTCGTTCTTTTTATATGTAAATTTGACTAAAATGTTTGTCATTCATCTACAAATGTTAAGCACTGCAATTTTAATGCTTTATTCAGAGTGTCATAACCTGACTAACGAGGTAAATTGTGCTTTTCATTTGGGGCCAGTTGTGCCGCGACACAACTAATCCCACGTGACTTTCGATATTGGAATATTGTCTTCTGTTTACTTGTGAATACTAAATACTTCATAACTTATTTGACAAGATCAGGACATACAAGCGACAAACACAAAGGTGAACTACATCTCAAGATCTTATGCAGAGGGCTGCTGAAGCGGACATTGTGGAAGGGCGCAAACTAAAAACTGTCACGCGTGAGTTAGAAATTTGTCACACAACGTTACAACACTACGTCAAAAAATAAAGAAGTGGACGTACTGCGATGGTTGGATAGAAATCAAGAGTAGTATTTAATGAAGAACAAGAGATGTTATTGTCGTCATACATTCGGAAAAGTGCCTCTATTTACTTTGGTCTTATCCCGGAAGTAGTGCGACAACTTTCAGACCAGTTTGCGATAAAATTCAATGCGCAAAACATTCAACCATCTAGCACAAAAATGGCGAGGGTTGATTGACAAATTTTTTGAAATGGAACCTACACTTTCTATAAGAACACCGGAAGCTACAGGTGCGGGACGCGCGTCCGCATTCAACCGACCGACATAACGTGGAGCAATTCTTTGAAAAACTTGGCGACCTGATGACCAAGAATAATCTTACTCCTTCTCGTATTTGGAACCTGAATAAGACTGGCATCCAATCTGTGCTAAAGCCAAATAAAATCGTGGCAGAAAACATAATAAAGCAAGTAGGTGCAGTCTTGAATGCATTGCGGCTGGCAACCTCTCCAGATGGATGAGCAGCACAGAGTTCCTAGTGTTTATGAATTATTTTATGAAATACACTAAACCTACTCTCGCAGAGCCAGTATTCATACTCTTGGATAATCATTCATCTCACATTGATATTGATGTGATTCAACAGGCTACGAGCAACTCAGTCATATTATTATCGTGCCCCACACATTGCACCCACCGCTTGCAACCCCTAGATGTGGGTATTAACGGCCCTTTCAAAACGTACTGCCCTAAAGCCCAAAGCAACTGGCTAAGAACAAATCCCGGAAAGACTATGACCATTTACGAACTACCAGGAAAAGTAAAATACGCTTTCCCTCTGGCCCTTTGATTCTAATGTTTTTAGAGATGATTTTGCACCGTCTTTCGTCACCGACCGCCCAAGGTCGGAAAAAAACTCTCCAAAAAAAGACAATTTGCCTGGACTTTTACACAATGGAGAAAGCGACCTTGAAGATCTTATCGAGTGATTCTGTATGGGAAGCACTGTTGAGACTAGTCCACAAACAATTCAACAGGATCATCAGCGAAATGTCCGTACAAGTGAATCACGTATTCAGCATCCTTACTGTGTATATGACTGTGAGCAATCAGCTGTTCAGGAAGTAGTTAATATAAGCTGTGAAAACTACTATTCACGCCAGAACAGTCCGATTCTTGGGAGGAGAGGAGATGAAGACGCTGTGTGTTTCTCACCGGAATCAATAAGACCATTGCCCAAAGCGCCTCCTCGATTAATTAGAACTAGTCAGCTAGTCAGCTGTTCTTACGGATACTCCTGAGAGAAATGTTTTGGCAGAAGAACAGGCTAACAAGAAAAGGAAGAAAGAAAGTAAGACAACGAAGAATATTGAATAAAAGGGAAAGAGGCAAGATGGAAAACAAATGAAAAAGAGGATCAAGAATCCCGACAAAAGAAAGGTCCTTCAGGAAAGTGATTAAAGTTTCAATGAAGAGAATAGTGGACTAGAAGGGTACTGTATCATATGTTGTGATGCATACTCTAACTATGGTCCTGGAGAAAATTAGATTAGATTAGATTAGCCCAACTTGCCTCAGAGCGGGGTTGGTAGTGCCTCTCCATCTCTTCTAAAGAAATCGGTTTCTGTCAAAAACTATTAAAGGTGCTGTAAAACTGCCTTATGTGTTTTATCCGATTTACTCGTATAGCAGGATTTGCCAAAATCGGCACCTTCAACCCGTAACCTTCCCTACAGAATTGTGAAAAGTATGTGCACTTCTTTCTATAAAAATAATAATTTATTTTGTTATATTATTCCTAGACTATTGAGGAAAATACGGACCTGTACAATCTCGCTTTTGGGCCTGTTGTGGTTTGTCTGGGCATAAATGGACTACGAAGGGGGAATAGGGGAATTGTTTGAAGCCGCGAAAAATAAAACAAAATAAACAAGCCATCACTGTTTGTATTCATATCAGCATAACATCAGTGTTAATAGTTAGGTGATTTTAGATACCTAACCTAGTTTAGAAAAAATAATGTCAATGAGTGATATGTCTCAATGTTCTGTGCGCATTCCAAGTATGGTTGAAGATCGATAATGTAGATTGAATGTATCAAGGAATTTCCTTTGTTATATACAGGGTGACAGGTAATACCATACCCTATATTCAAAGGTTGAAAAGTTATTGAAGATTTATTATTTTTTTAAAAACAATCCATATTTCAGAGTAAAAAAGTCAAGAGAGAAAAAAGTTGGCGATTAAACATCTGTTTTTTGTGGTTTTGGGTTATTATTTCAATAATTAACTATTATAAATTAAAAAAGATTCGAAAACAATACCAAACAACGTATTTATTTTCATTCAAAAATGTTTAACTAATAAAACAAATAACGTTTTACAGTAAGTAAGGTGTTTTACAAAAAAATCAGTATACAAAAAAACGTACAAATAATTTAAATAATATCCTTGTTTCATAAGGAATCTAAATTGGTATGATAAGTGCACAAAAACTGTGTGAAACTAAACATAGTGTATTGTAATACAACAATAGGGAGTAAATTTACCAATGGTCTGTCTCCTATTTTCACAACTCTCTGATTGATAAGAAAGTGTTTTTGTGAAAATAATGTAACTGTAAGCTATGGGATAGTTATTATTTTAAACTACGGTCAAGTTACACACAGTTGTAATTGTACTACAGAATAATAAAAACTGACTAAAAGTTACTACAATTGGTAAGTAAAATACAATAATGAAATGAAGGTAAAATTCATTGCAATTGTTGTTCGAACTGACACCCGCCGTTTCTTATGCAAGCCCGGTGGCGGTCCACCTCGGCCAATCCAGCGACAAAGATATTTCTCGTCCAGCCACTGTCTAACACCCAGACGGAAATGCGCGGGACAGCCATCGTGTTGGTAGATCATCTGCATCCTGTTATTCAGAGGCAGTTCTTCGAGATACTCCCAGAGTTCGGATCTCAAAAAGTTTTCATAGGATTCGCCATTCAGGTTGTCGGGCAAAAAAACTGGTCCAATTAGATACGTACGAATGATTCCGATACACACGTTTGCCGAAAATCTTCTTCTTGCGGGATCTCCTTCTTCTAATACTTGAATCGGTGTGTAATGGAAAGGGTAAAGTCTCGCCGAATGCAAAACGAACCAAACTTTCCACTGAGTTAAACCAAGCTGCTTTGCTATAACTCGTGTAGACGTCGCCGGGTCTCTGCCGTAGCACTCCAGTATTGCCTCTCGATCTTCGTCGTCAAACAACCGAGGACCGAGGACTACCAGCATCACGACGTCTCTCATGAACCTGTCCACTTTCCTTGACGCGTTGGTACACAAAAGCAAATACTCGATGACTCGGTGTTCGCCGATTCGGAAAACGGTTTTCGTATTCTCGCCTGGCTTCAACGGAATTTCCATCACTTAAACCATAACAAAACAGAATATCAGCGTATTCTTCGTTACGGTAACTAGCCATTATTAAAACTGACCAAAAAAGTAAAAGTACGTCCTACCGCGTTAAAGGTTGATATTCTACTAACTAATCTAAGCGTTAGTTCCTTTTCCTTGATCCGTCAGCTGTGTCAATTCATAACACACGCAGAGCTTGCTTCCGAGGAGCGACGACAGATTCCCAATACTTAAACCCGAATAACGGCACAGGGCACAAAAAATAACAAAAAGGGTCGAACCATGAAAGGCTCGTTTTACCTGTTCAGTACAATGAAATGCGCTTAGCGGTCCTTTCTAGCAAAGTAATATTGTTTTGTTAAATGGTTTACTTACTGATATGTTATTATACCATTTTGCAGTGTTTGCAGTTATTTGTACATTTTCTTTATTATGATTTTTTTGAAAAAAAAAGACTTCTTAATGTGAAAGTTGAAAATAACAATTTTCATTTAACATTTAAATGAAAATAAATACGTTTTCAGTAGTGTTTTCATATGTTTTTTAACTTATGAGAATTATTTATTTAAATAATAACCTGAAACCACCAAAAACAGAATGTTTAATCACCAACTTTTTTTTATCTCAACTATTTTACTCTGTAATCTGGGTTGTTTTTTAAAAGAAATTAAATCTTCCATAACTTTTTAACCTTTGAATATAGGGTATGGTATTATATACTAATTTTGATAGCAAAGGAGCTGTACTATCACCTCCTAAAATGTTTTACACCTATCTACCTGTCACCCTGTATGTGTATCTGTTTGATTGATGGCAATTCTCTCAAATCTTTGATATGTAAGAAAACAATGCTCCTTTTACTTTCATACCGCTGTTTCAATATTGACCATGCTATTTCATAGCTTCCATTACTGAGAGTGATACCCTGGATAGATTTCTGCAAATCTGATTAAAGTATGAAACCTTTCAGAAAAGTATGTCCACTGAGTGTATTGTCCATCAAAATGCGGAAAATGTGTGGAAGCTTCACAGCCCTTGTGATAAGGATATTTCGTGAAGTGCCATGCGAGGCGTCACTGCCGGAATTCGAACAATGCGTGGGCATTGAGCTTGTCACTGGAGGATTCAAATCATGAGTTAAACTACGAGCATGCGTTACAGTCTCTTAATAAGAAGTTTGAAACGTTTCCATCTGGTCGCTTTGTGAAGCTAAAACAACATCTGTCTTTAACTGAACTGCTTCGAAATTATTAATCAACAAAGCAATGCGTGGTAACCGAGTCTCAATATCGAAATGAGATTGCACAGAGTGATCAATTTCTTGCAAAAACATAGTTAGATGCAGTAATGGAAAAGAATATGCTGACCAACCTGCGTCCGTCCTTATGTACGAGTGTTTTTACCAGTGTACCTAACCTGTATACTTGAATCATAGATTATTAGCTACAGAACCTGTAGAACCGTCGATGACAGGGCAGCTTCAGCGCCGCCTGACATTTTGGCTAACATAATAAATAAAGGAGACCACGCACTACCTGCCAGGACAGGTCAGTGTCCATACTAGTACGTTATTTATTTAAGTAATTTCGAAAACTTTTGTTCTAATATTTATATTCGTTATAGTATTTTATTAAAATGTATTATGTGCTACACTTCTTTTTTATACTTTTAAATTGCTTTATGTAAAATAAAATAAGTTAAAAGTGGCAGTGCTCGTCTTTGTTACCCTGTCCGTTCATTACTTCTTTAGATGTTTTTACATTTTATTCAGCGTCTTGCTCAAGTTATTTTTAACAAATATGTCACATTCCTGAGAAATATTTTTTTAGAAAATTACATTTTTCTGTAAAAATTACGTCTGGTATGACATTGAACAGAATACTTTTAAAAATATAGACAACGGCGCATTTCTCTCTGTCGGTAAAACAGTTTTCTAGTGTCATTTATGAATTTCACTATAGATTCCTTCATCCATAAAAACTAGTTTGGATCGCATACGCTGCAATAAAAGCAAAATAGTATTTAATAGCTTTAGATGGGAGTTTCGTATCTAAAAGTATTCTGCGATTTGTGACACACTTTAAAATGGTATTCTGATCATATACGTATTATAATGATCATGAAATTACCTCCATGTGAAATAATGTTGTATGTGCATAACATGGACGACGAACGTACAATTTTTAATACTGTATTTAAACGAAACATTACTTATGATACAAAATTAAAATAACCTCTGGGTGTGATTTTACCTCCAGTTATTAAGCGTTTGAACATGATATTTTTACTCCATTTTCAGCGTTGGTATAAAAATTGAGGGATCCATGTGAAAAAAATCAATGACTTTGAATTGTCCTTCAAGGTCACAGCAAGGGTCAAACTGAAGGTCATCATCAGACGCGCCATTAGGTGTCCTGCAATTTTCGCATTAGGTGTTCTTTAATATTCTTCTTTTTCCAGCTATCCGCCGCTTCACAACATTCCATGAAAGAGCAACATTTGTCATTGGAATAACCTCTAGATGTAATTTTAGCCTCTATTATATTCACACAGTTGGAAAGGATTTTTTTTTTGAATTTCTGCAATAAAAAATGGAGGTTACGATATGAAAAAATCAACTTGCCCTTAAAGTGACCTCCTCACACCCTAGATCACCACTAGATGCGCCATTTGATTTCCTTTTTTCTAGCACCCTTATTTTCCGAGATATTGGGGTGTGTCCATACTTTTGGGACACCCTGTATACCTATAACTTACGGGGAGTAATTTAGCGGTTTCTGTTTCAATAAGATTGCTCGGGATATCAGCTACCTCTTACCTTCAGCTGCAACCAGACTGACATTTAAGTGCGCCATCCTCAGGTTGGTCAGCACGTGGTCAACGGCGATCTTCCGATAACACATTTCCGACAACACGACCAGTGGCGTACTGGTGGGATCTCCACAGCAATCGGGTAACAGCATCGCTGTCAGGAGCAAGAGGAACAGTGGCGCAGCTGTCGGCAAGCCGGGCATGACGCGCCACTCACTGTCAACACGCCCGCATTTCAACGGCGTTCAAGTGTCACCCCTCGGAGTGGGAGCTGGCGACGACGTGAACGTTGAGGTATGGCCTGAGGGCTTGTGCATCTTGGAGAATGAACTGAAAAACGATATTAAGACCTATCACTATACATGGTAGAGAGGGATTTATTTAGATTAGACTTTTTACTACAAGTGAGGAAAGAAATATTTTCACTCATAAAAGAATGTTTACTGTTAATTATCAGCAGAAATTTTTAAATGATTTAGGTAATAGTACATGGTCTGAAGTATTCAGGGTGACAATTTTTTAACCAAAAACTACTTCACCTCCATTTACCATCTGCCCCCCAGGAACATTCCCTTAAAAATTTTAAATGACAGGGGGTATCGAGTAATAGCTTGTTTCAAAAAGTTCTTTCGAAGTCATTTAATTTGACTTTTGTGTTTTTAAATCAGTCGATTCATTTTCGAGAAAATTAGAAAAATCTTTATTTATCTTAATTTGTTCAGATAGGAAACGAAAACACAC